GCATGAACTAGGTTTGGATACTGCGAAATTGGTATATTTTTCGCTGGTGGAATCGCACATTAAATATGCCAATTTATTGTGGGTAATCTAATAAAATAAATTTTCAAAAATTATTGTCACGGATTTCGGGTTCACTGATACTCACTTCACAAATAGTAACAACTTTTATTGAACTTGACTTCATATAAAATTCACTTATCACTATTATTGTAACGTACACGACAAAATTATAGAGAGTTATTAGAACTATTAAATACTGCCTCGCAGTATTAAGGATCTACGTTATTTTATTAGTGCATCAGCACTATTTTTCCAAGAAAAGAACAGTAATTGGAAGACTGTAGTAGGTAGTAGGTGTTAGAGTATCACCTTATTTTGCATTCATAATTTTGACAGCTGATAGCTATGTTTATAAATTTCAACCTCAAGAGGTGTCTAATTTTATTTGTAATTTTCTGCTGATACCCATTTTTTGATGTTACCTACAATAAAATAAAAAATTATGGTAAATAGTTATTTGTTTTACTAGGCAGAAAAGCACATGATTTAATGCCGCGGCTGGTGTTTCATAGCCAAGGCTAGGAAACCAGCCGAGGCATTAAATCTGCTTTTCTGCCATGTAAAACATATAATTTTTTCTCCGAATGTTCAAATTCACACATGGACATCTTTTTTTTATTTATTTCATTCATTATTATTATCCAAATAATTAAATTATTTTGACAATTGTCATTTGGTCACCATCAATTTCAAATACAAAATTGTGTGAAATTATTACCTGGAACGTAGTGACACTGTCACTTTTAATGCCTAGGCAGTAAAAGTCCACTTTTACTGCCTAGGCATTAAAAATACAACTTTTGATCCTGTCAAGTGTCATTAAAAGGCCGCTTTTTCTGTCATTCGGAGAAAAAACAAATTATCCAAAGTAAATTTACGTCATCGTCGAAAACCGAAACGTCAAATTCGTCAAAAATGTCGGGAATATTGAAATAATGAAGTTTACTGCCTCGCACTAACCATACACAAATAAAGATAAGCATAGTAACCTTATTAAAGGAATCCTTATTTCCAGACCCAAATGCGCATGCGTAGATGTCAAAATAAGGCTAATTTAAATACTGCTTGTCCGTACTGCTACTACGCGCTGTTTATAGCACACAGTGTACTCGAGAACTATCTAGAAAATCTGGCGCAATCAGGCCGGGCTCTCGAAGCATTTTCGCAACAGCATACATCATATATATATTTTTTTTGTTAAATAAACACCCTCTAGCCCTCTGCTATGCTACATCAATAGTGGAATCTAGTTCACCCATCTGATATACCAAGATCCATTTATGTTGAATAGAATCACAAAAATGCAAATGAACCTGAGACCCTTTTTGTAACCTGACACGGGTAGCTAAAGTTTAATCCTATTGATTTGCTGAAATCTTAATAGTATTCTTATGAAAAATGAGAGAAGTTTGTCCCCAGGTATACACTTATTGGACTCAGTTTTGCATAAATTTGCATATAGGTAGGTACTTATGGCCCTAATCAACGTTTAAAGTGACATTTTTACATGTGAAAATGTCACTTTAACATTAATTATCGTTAAATCTCCCTTAAAATGGTCGGTGCAAACGGCCATTAATATAGTCTCGCTAAAACAAATAGACTATAGGTAATTTTGAATCAAGTTTGATATATTTTTGGGAAACTTCATGATATAGGCATAGGACATGAGTAAGTACCTACGTCAAAAACAAGTCCTACTTTTTAAATATCGCATCTTGGGATTTAAGTACCTACATCTTTCTTGGAATAATTTATCAAGTTAAAAAAAATAATAATAATGGTTTTGGGGTGAATTCATTTATTTATACTTACTTAAAATTATAATATTCAGAAAGTATCACATAATTTGAAACATCTGAATATGGTTTTAATATTCACTATCCTAATATAATTATTATTGGTTTTACTGTTTCCGAAAATTTGGATTTTCTTAGTATCTAATTTACCATCCAGTATTTTGGAAACGATGCATTTAATTTTATAGTTATGTATTTAAATGTATTGTTTCCCAAATTGACTGGATAAGGATTGAATAATAGGTCCAGGTAATCAAAATACATAATAGGTAATTCGCCATATAATATAAATTTCCCTGTTATTATCATAAATTTAGTTCTATAACTATTTAGAATCCATATAATTCATAAAGAAACGATAAAAAAAAAAAACAAATACAAATATGAAAAACACCGTTATTTGCATGACAAAATACAATAAATCCAGATAATAAATTAATGTAAAACAACAGCTTTGACACTGAAATTTGTAGACCTTGACTTTATCATACATCAGTATTGAAATTATTCAGTATTGAGGTACCTATACATTAAGTTCTAAAATCTAATATAACAGTTTATTTTACCTTTATCAGTTATCACAAACTTGAGATTGAATGTAAGGTCATCCTTCAATTTAGGATCGTGGGTATTTCATTTTTTTCCATCAGTGGCCTCCTGGATGCGCCATGGTCACATATTCGAGTTTCACTAGAAGATCTTTCGATTTCTTCAAATTTCTTTTTGCCTTCAATAAAATCACTAAATTTGTTCAATTCATGATTCATTGAACACCGTCTCAAGAATTTCCGTCGCAGCCTTCTCTGCTTCTGCTCAATAACGTTCTTGAATTCGGAAAGTTGCTGACAAATTATTTCACGATAACTATCCCACCCCATTAATTCGATTTCCAGCAATAAAAGTCTCCGCTTTTGCTGCTTCTCACGTCTCTTCTATTCTTTGTGAATTCTTTGATGATATTTATCATGGCTAATTTCACAAGTCACTGGTTTTATCCACTTTTCCATATCTTTGATACCTATAATAACTTTCACAAATGGAATACAAATTTGGTACTGGTGCCAAAAGGGTTTCACATTGGCATTTAATCAAAAAAGCAGGTACCTATCTAAGTATCCATCCTACAATAAATATTACCTGTTATTCGGGCATAGAAATTGAAGATCCTTCAGCCGTCAAAAATAAATTGGCCTGGGATCGACAATACCGGAAAAACAATATACTTTTTCCAACAAGCATAAAATGTGTCCGACATTTGAGTCTCTATAAATCTGTTCTCACAGAAGTCACAATTAAACCAGTCAGAGCGAATTTCATTGGTTGAAAATAGTCAGAAAACTGGTTACATATTATCATATTATTACTGTCATAAATGTGATAAAGGCTATGACGGTATAAAAAGAAAGTGACAAATTTTAAAGATAAAAGTTTATATGTACTTGCCCGAATATTATATAAATTATCTATCTACATAAATAAAATATTTAAACAAAATTGCATTAAAAAAATACATTTATTATCGCTTACATGATAATCCTATCTCAGTTACGTCATTGTTGAATCTACTAAAATAAGGTTAATCCATTGTATTTTGCATTTGCATCGAAAGCACCGAAATGATCCCATAATGGGTGGTCAGCTCTTACATAAGGGCACACTTTAATGGGCCTTATCTATTTTTCTTTGAAAATTTTATTGCCAAGAAGAGAAATTTCGGATTGAGATTTCATTTAATGATAGATTAACTGCTTAAATAAGTAATTTAGTGAGGATTAGCATCTTTGCTTATGGTAATAATTTTTCTCATACAAAACACTTATTATTATATAAATAACTATATGATACTTAAGTATTTGATTACAGGAATTATAATTTCTACCATAGTAATAATAATGTATATTTAGTAGTAGCACCTATCTAACAATTTTGCTACATGAATGTACTAATTACTAATTATCTAGATTTTAGGGTGTAAATACCTATACCTTAATACTTTTAATCTATAACAAAACATTATTCATTCCTTCTAGATAACACGCACATGATATGTGAAAAATTACTTTCCTTTGTACAACAATCATGTGTCAAAATCACGCTCCACAAAATTAGACCAACTCATAACTCTATGATTTATTCATTAAAAATGTATTCTTATTATTAATTTAATATGTCAAACGCATTGTCTAGTCCCATATATGCATTTGAAACGTGACATATTATTATAATGGCCCCCTTTAAAATAGTTTTACAAATGCATTTTTTTTTTAATCTATTGTAGAATAAATTTATTGGGTAACAATGTGGTATGTAAATCGTGACCTATATTTAGAACAATAACAATGTGTTTTAGAGACATAATGAAATTAGTTTAGTGAAATTGCATCCTTTCGTTATGCTACTTTCATCAGATTTTATTCTACAATTAATCCAACAAGGGATAGGTATAATAGAAAGCAAATATTCAGTGGTAATTGCTTATTTTATGATAATTAGGCTCTTCTTGGATTAAAACTTGAAACTAATTATTATTATCTTTCTAAGTTCGTGACTACTAGTACTACGTCAAGTTTCTAGAACTACTTTCATTTAGAAAATTTTTGTCAAAACAAGTTAAATGCTTACCTATTTTCTGGCCAGGGGATCTGAAGCTACGAGGCATCGGTATGGGGAATGCAGTTATAAGTTTCGTCCAAATTCCTTCAGTAGCTTCAGATCCTCTGGCCAGACAGTATTATGTTTATTCAAACATTTGAATCAATTTTATTTATCAGTATGCCTACATCTGTATATTGCTATATTTATACACCAACATATTATAAGGCACCTAGCTAACTGAATAGCTATGATATGTTCCAGAGAAATCTTCCACAATAAATCAATAATATAATAATGGAGGTTCATATACCTGATTATCATCTGACCCAAATACTATTATTCCATGATACAAAAATGCAGATTTAAGTAGACATAAGTATTAAATGTTATAATCCAATTTCATAAGAGTTAAGAAGAAAATTTTTCGAATGTGAAATTTAGGAATACTTCAATAAATATATGAACCTTTAATAAATTATAAGTAGGTAGTTCAATATAATTCAAAATGCGCAAAGTATTACAATTTAATCTTTGCATAATTTCCAGGTTGCCAAACTCTCCGTATGGCAGCATCCAGACGTGCCAAAGCCCTCGGTATCGAGTCGAGAAAAGTCAGAATGCCACGTTGCAATAAACAAGGCGCCTTCGAACCGATCCAGTGCGACAATGAAATTGTCAGCTCTTGTTGGTGCGTGGACGAGGCTGGATTCGAGCTTGCGGGTACCAGGGCACCTGCTGCCGCTTTGGTGAATTGCACAGGTGAGATTTGATGTAATAGTCCGAAAATGGCACATTACGTTACTAGTCTAGTAGAAATTACAAAATACAGCTTATTCCTCCATAAAAATCTGATTTCGAAGGTAAACATCTCAAAACTAACTTATTTTTAGTCACAATTTACTGTCAGAGTAAATTAAATTCGGGCATGAAAATGAAAAAGTTCAAATGTAAACAAACAGATTAATACTGGTAATAACAAAAGGTCGTCATGCAATACTAATTACTATAATGCCGTTTGTTGCATGAAAATGAAGATCGGGCTGTTGCAACAATTACCAATTTACAAAACCGATCCCATCCCGTGCGCTTTTAAAGCAACGTGATACAGCTTTCCCGTATTTAATATTTATTTTCTAACCTTTTCACAGGACGCTCCTCTAAATATCGAAAAATGTCATTGGGTCTTTGGTAATGGGGTTTATTGCCAATTATTTATTTGTTTGTCTGTAACTTGAGTTTATTTCGCACCTATTTTGTCAAGAAGTGATCCCTTGTATATTAATGATAAATGACAAGAAATATGCATCATCTGATCAATGATTTAACGAAAAACGTTTCTACTTTTCAATCTGAAACTGAGTTTGTATCAGTATCGTTTAAAAAAATTGGTTCCTTGCTCTGAGGTTCCTTGACTTTACGATCAACCAGCTCCAGTACATTGTAATGTACATTGTAATCTACAGTTTCTCAAGTATCTATTGAATCAGATTTTCCGCACCGTAAATTCAGCACAGGTAGGACAAACTGATTGGAGTTCATTTTTAAGCCATGTTGGTATGATCGATTTAAAGATTTGTTTTAAATTTCCGAAACCTGTCCAGATATAAGCTTATTGTGTTGACTGTGACTCACACGAATTTCGTTTTCTAGATATTAATAGGAAAGGTAATACTTACCTGCTCGATTTTTCCATCATTCGAAGGAACATTGCCACTAATTACCAGGTTTGTCATGAATTGTGTTCTCGAGGTATTCATTTTTAGTCCAACTTATTTGGATGCTAGCTGAAAAGCTATACAGATTTCAGATTCCCCCTATCTACCAGTCTCCTTTAACGTCTTTACCTATGATATAAAGGAAATTATGTTGAAAAAAATTGAAAAATAGAAAAATGACCAGAAGAAACCTGGGAAAGAAATTGGAAAAGCTTCATCTTTCAGGGATTTCCAGGATGATTTGAGTTTTTTGATTTTGAAAAGTGGCTAAAAATATCAGCAGGTAAACATACAAAATTTGGTACCTAGTACCTAGTTTGGTACCGGGTATTTTTTGCCAATACATACCAGTTCTCTATGAAACTTTTCAGCAATTTTTGAGATTTCGGCTTTATATTAGATACCATTATTATCGACGAGCGAAATATTTCTTCTACCTTCGCCAAGATTTCAACGCAATATTTTTAGACTACTCTTATCCTCAATCGCTTTAAATATATATGTTCGACCATCATCTTTGGCAGACTTGGAAAAATGTTTTTGTTCAGTTGTTTTTAGATATCATTATTTCCTTTGTATCTGTCTCTTATATCTCTCTTGAGTCCATGAAATTTTTAGTATTTTGGCTCAATTTTCATTTTCTGGTTATGCCTGTCATACATCATACAGTTTTTTTTTTAATATTGTTAATTTGCGCCTCCAATTTATAAATATAAATATTTTAACTAGAAAAAAACAAATTAAAAAAATTATACCAACAAGAACGCACAAAAAATATATCTAACAAAAGTAATTATGTTAAAATCTAGAACAAAATTTGAATGAATCCCTAGTGAAAAGAATTGAAATTGAAGCAAAAATTTAAAAAGTGGTCAAAAAGTTGAAAAGACAGTCACAGAGACATACATATTATGGTTCCATTAAAATTTAAAAAAAATACAAATAAAACAGAACTATGACAAATTAGATAGAATCCATTAAACTTTTTTGTTTGCTTTATTTCTGAGAAAGGTTAAGAGAAAAGGTCGAGAATGTTGGGAGAGATAGCTTTACGCGTGTTCGTCACTGCAACCCTGCGGATCTGTTGTAACTCACTACATGTTATAGAGCCTCGACTAGTTTTATCTCTCTGGTCAGTGTAGCTTGCTGCTTCTGGCTTGGTTGAGCCAAGACATCGGAAGCGACAGGCCTTTACAATGTCACAAGACGTAAGTTGCCGTTTCCCCCTCTTCTTGACAGACCTACAGACTGTGTTTTCTTCCACTCCCAACAGACTTGAATGTCTATTCAGTCGGCAGTGGCCAACCATTATTCTGACAACCTTTCCGATCAGGTCTGATACCTGAGTAGGTCTGCTGTTAGTTTAGCCGATGAGGTTTTCAAGAACTTCTTGGCTTGTGTGTCCACAATTTTTTGTATTCTTTCGTCACTTATTTCTTAATGGAGTAATGGGCTTGGCCACCCCACAAAAGGGTTAAGATCCGGTCATTCGTATTGCCGAGCCTTCTCGAGCTATTTTGTCAGCGCCTTCATTGCCCTGATGGCCTTCATGCGGTACCCATGATAGCGTCACCTCATTCTGACTTAATCTATCTCGTGTAATGCTTTGTGACAATCCAAAACTGACTTTGATGTTATATTGTTGCACTGCACCGCCTTTTTTACCGCTTGGCTATCGGAATATATCACGATCGTTTTATCACGAATCTTCCTCTTCTTCATTTCTATTGCGCCGAGTTCTAATGCTGTTATCTTATCTCCGCTTGGAATACTGTTGTTAGGTTTCGCATAAGGTAGGTATCGGAATTTTAGTTTCCGTCCTAGATTTGTAGATTCCAACTCTACTTCTTCCTGGGTTTTTGTGCCATCAGTGTACCAGATTGTTTCCGCCCTTATTGGAGGGCCACTTCTTCAATCGTCCCTAGTTGAAATCTGTGTTTTGTATTGTTTGACAAAGCTATAATAGGTTGTTGTTGTCCGTAGGCATTCCTAGGATATCATCTGCCTTCTGCCTTTATCTCCCTATATAACTTGCCATGATCGGCGTCGTGTCCACCTATTATGCAATAGTCCGTACGTGAGGGACCCTGTATGTATATTCGGATGGGTGGAAAGTTCAATTTAAGGTACGGTTTGTTAGGATAGTACGCGACGCATAACAGACAACGTAAACGTCGTCATTGGTTCAGGTATGACGTACACCCGTTCCCTGACGTCAGCGCTGACATGAGGAAACGGGTGTACGTCATACCTGAACCAATGACGACGTTTACGTTGTCAGTTGTACGTCGCGTACTATCCTAACAAACCATACATTTTAGGATAGTACGCGACGCACAACTGACAACGTAAACGTCGTCATTGGTTCAGGTATGACGTACACCCGTCTTTTGACGTGAGAAAACGGGTGTACGTCATACCTATGGTCATACCTGACCAATGACGACGATTACGTTGTCAGTTGTGCGACGCGTACTCTCCTAACAAACCGTACCTTAACCAATTTTGACTCTGTCATACTCCGTAGGTTCATTGGACAGAGAAAGGCTACCGTGCCTGTGTGTTTTACTGGTGCTATGAGTTCAACGCCAACCGCAGCGCTGGAGGTCTAAAGGTACGGTTTGTTAGGAGAGTACGCGTCGCACAACTGACAACGTAAACGTCGTCATTGGTTCAGGTATGACCATAGGTATGACGTACACCCGTTTTCTCACGTCATACCTGAACCAATGACAACGTTTACGTTGTCAGTTGTGCGTCGCGTACTATCCTAACAAACCGTACCTTTAGACCTCCAGCGCTGCGGTTGGCGTTGAGCTCATAGCACCAGTAACACACAGGCACGGTAGCCTTTCTCTGTCCAATGAACCTACGGAGTATGACAGAGTCAAAATGACGGCCAGGTTTACATTGAACATTGATTTATGCCGTTTATGCCATTTATTTATTTCAAAATTTTACATAAAATCACTCTACAGTGTAAAGCGGGCTGATAAATGACCAATAATAGCTGGGTTCGGCTATTCAGCGCGGAGTTGGAGTGGAGTAAACGGAGCTAATTGAGTCACCCCTAATACGGTAAAAAGCAATACCCGAACCTTAACGCGAACGGCTGAAGTGCGAATAGAGTCACCCGGAGTGCACGGAGTGAGCAAGCCGAACCCACCTAGAAACGAACCTTTTTGAAGGTTGGTTGGACAGAGTAATCGCCTTTACCTGTCTGGTTCTGGTCCACCATACTATTGGTGCTATTGATCCATATGCGATCATTGGCCTTACTACCCCCGTGTATAGCCACAGGGTCATTCGCGGGCTTAGGCCCCAGCTTTTTCCGCACATTCTTCTACATCTCCCAAAAGCAAATTGTTGCCCTGAGTGTGGTCTTCCCAATATTCGTTTTCCAAGTGAGTTTCTGGTCAAAAATAATACCGAGGTATTTAGCTTCATTTGAAATTTTAGTTCCTCCCTATTTATTACTAGTGGGCCCTTTGGCTTCTTTTCGATAGTATGTTGGCAATTGTGCCTCGTACCACTCGTACCACAATCGTTTGGTCGTCTGCCTAGCTTAGGCAGTGAAAACCTTCCGCAGAGATGGGGGGCTAGAGGGAGCCGGAGCCCCTACTGAAATTTAGCCGGCCCCTCCTGAAAACTTGCTCTCATGTCGGCAACAATGCAATGTAACATCAGCAGCCTCTGCTGGTTGATTCGGTCAGTGGGCAGAGGCCAAGAATCGTTAACTAACAGGATTGCTCATCCTCATAAGGCGTACGTTCGCCAATTCTCGAGTCGACAGGGCCTGCAAGTGGTGTCACTGCTAATTAGCAGCTTTCAGTGATGACGTCACCCGCAAGCTTCGATGGGATGCTCGCTATTCATCAGTTTGTGCTCGATTTTTTATCGATTTTAAATGAAGAAAAGGTGATTTTGACAGGATTATAACGTTAAGGATTTTTTTTTGACCTATACAGTTTTAAACTCGGGTAATGCATTTTACGCCAAGTGTTTTTTTTGCAGCTGAAATGGCAGACATTTTCAGCTCAATAA